ATAAGCTGGAAATGCACTTCTGCAGCGCAACAGATTCACAACCTGCACTTTTTCCTTTGCTGCACCTTGGCTATTGCATCTCTGGGTCATCTGTCGGCTCCTTTGCAATGGTCTGCAGTCGAATTACACCAACTGATGCTAAACTCAATTCTGGAGGCTCAGCTTCATCGAATTCACACCGACAGTCTTTGCAAATCTGCCACAGCTTCAAGTACTCAGTCCTGCATGCAAAGAAAACACATTCATGAAAACACACGCATGAGCAAGGCTGCTTGCATGAACTCCTTGGCAGGTATGGCTCCAGTTGGCACAGCCAACAGGACAGGCAAATCTTATAATCTGCCAGCAAGGCAAGTTCTTCAACTGACAGCATGCTGCTAACCTTGCCCTTTGCTTGAGCCAAATATTTGCTGGCAAACCAGATCCTCGACATGCATGCCAGCAATCTATGCAGCTGGCACAGACGCCATTGTTTTCTCAGTCAGATCGGTCTCTGGTGCGCAGCATTTCTACTCCAGCTGCTATCCTAGCCTCTCAGCCAAATATTTCTTTGCACAAGGTAATCTTCTCTTTGGCATTCTGCTGAATGGCCTGGAACTCCTTGTGCTCCCACACATCGCCCTTGTCGGACACTTTGGAGAGGATCTCTTCCAGCTCACCCTTTGCTTTGGCTGCGTGCCCTCTTTTGTCACCATCTGTGGTTTCAAATGCCTTGCAGCCCACGACAGTGATGGCTTTGGACAAAGCAGATTTCAGCCACTGGATTTGTTTCTTGGTCACCTGCTCCTCATCATCTTTGTTTGCTTTTCCTTTCTTGCCAATGCCTTTGGAAGTCTTACCCTTCATGCTCCCCTTGCCCCCTTGGCAATGCTGGATGCTGAGCCAAAGGCAGTCCAAGCCTTGTCCCAGTCATCATCATCGTCCTCCTTGGTCTCTGGCTTGAGCTGGCTCTTGGAAGATTTGCTGAGCTGCTTATCTCTGCCCAACACCTTGGTTGTCTTCACCTTGTTGTTGTCTTTGAATTCCCAAACTCCAGGTGTGTCTGGGCACTCCCTTTCAGAGATTCTTCCACTGTGAATGTGCATCGTCTCCTCCTCACTCCATTCTTGCAACATCTTGGTCCAGCTGATCCACTCATCAGTCTTCTCGAGATTTTGGCTCCCCCTCACAGTGTGGGTTAACTCTTGCCAGACATCAGTCATGGTTGGGTCAAGGGCAAGGCAGCCAACCAAGTGCCTGTGAGCTTTTCTGCCCTTGGCTTGCAGCCAACTTGTCAATTTCACTGTTTTTTTCCTGGCTGAGGAAAACCTGCCATTGAGCTTGTTCCAATCATGCAAGGTCAAGTGGTCGTTCAAAAGCTGCAACTTATCCTCTGCAGACAAGTCGGTGTTGCTCCTCAGCAACTCCAGCTTCATGTTCAAGCTCTCTGACTTGCTCAACTCAGACTTCACGTGGTCACGCGGGCTTGGGTCCTCATTCTGGCTCTTGCCTGCTTTTTCAGGCTCTTCAGTCTGGTCGACTGGTACAGGGTTGGGCCCTTCTGAATCAGGCAGGCTCACCTGATGTGCTCATGGAGGGTCTCTTGCGGGGCCCCATGGCTCAGTGTCTTCAGTGCTCAATCTACTTTGCTACACAGATCCACTTGTGGCAACGCATGCAAGCCTGAGAACATTGCAATAAATGCAGCACTTGCGCCCTCACAACATGATGGCCAGGCACACTCCTATATATGCATCTGGCCCTTCTGCAGGGCCAGATTCACTTTCCACATTGGACTTGGCCCTTGCGCAGGGCCAAACGCAGTTTCCCAATGCCCTTGGCCCTTCTGCAAAACCAGATGCATTTGAGAGCCCTTCTGCAGGGCCTTCTTCACATCCCCAATGCTTCCATGAATGAGCCAGATGCAAAAAAAAAACAAAGCAACAAACCAGACTGAAACAACAAACACATACTTCTGCTAAGTATGTAGTACAGGCAACATATCTGTAATACAGAAAAAACATCTGTAATACAGAAAAAACATCTGTAATACAGAAAAAAACATCTGTAATACAGAAAAAACATCTGTAATACAGAAAAAACATCTGTAATACAGAAAAAGACATCTGTAATACAGATAAAATATCGGTAATACAGATAAAATATCTGTAATACAGATAAAAAATCTGTAATACAGATAAAAAAATCTGTAATACAGATAAAAAACCTGTAATACAGATAAAAAAATCTGTAATACAGACTGTAGTATTTACAATGCAGGCCACAAAAAAACAGACCAAACTACCTGTAGCATGGCACAGACAAAATGTCTGTAATAAAGCCAAACCATGTGAACTATAACTATGGCTCAAAAGGGAGTCGCACCGCACATTTTTTTGCCTTTGCACCAGCAGTGATCAGGTGCTTACACTTGGCCCCAGTACCTGTGTTCCAAGGCTACATCATGGCAGTGGCACATGCACAGTGGGTGGCAAGCACTTTGGCAATGCTCACACCAAAGTTTGCCTTTGCCCTTCATCACAGTGACACCCTTCCTATTGCCTTTGCCTTTTTGAGGCTGTGTGTGCTTGTTTTTGCCTTTGCCATGGCCCTTGCTAGGCTCAGGCAAATCATGCACCCAAGCTCTCACAAGCTTGAAGTCAGAGCTCACAAATTCTTGATGTCTCCAGGCTTCAAAAAGTTTCATTGCGTGTGCCACCTCCAAAAGCTGCAGCATTTCCCTCCACTCATCTGGGCTTTGCTGCAACCACCTTGCCAGCTGCTCTGGCCTCTCACTCATTTGAGACCACCTCTCCTCAGCATTCGTGATGCTTGGTGAGGTGTCCAACTCGGACCTAAACCGCTGACGGCTGCCGGTGCTACTCGTGCCGGCCGTCTTCGAGTGACCGCGCGCCTAGACGGTGCTTTTTAAGGCCGACGATAACTGGTCAACGCATCACGTTTCAACCAACCGGCCAAAGCGCCTTGTCAAATAATTCAAAATTAAATCCACTTGAGTCTATCGGTTCAATGTGGTTGCAATGGAAATGTATTTATCTAGCTTCATGCCTGCCATTCTGGAGTTGAATCTTTGTTTCTGTTTCTTTTTGCTTTCTCTTGTTTGATTTGGCTACCGGCGCGAATCCGCCCCATACCCGTAATTCGGGGTGGTGGCGGGTTCCGGGCACCAATGAGTGCCCGGGTGTGGGGTCGCGAACCCTGGTAGCCTAATCGTCTTTGTTTTTCTTGTTTATTGCAATTCAACCTCAACATGGCCAATGCGCCTTTCCAAATTCACTCCTTCTCTTTGTACAGTCGAGGGGGGTGTTTTTGGGGGCATGTACTTTTATCACAACATGTTTAATTTCATGCCAATGCCCAACGCGGCATTTGGCTCAAGCTTTTGGTCCCGGCGACCCTATCTTGCTGTTCCGGCAATTCGCTTCCCGACGGCGCCGCTTCGCCTCTCGCGCAAAAGCATTGCGCGGGCCGCGGCCGCGGCGGTTGGGGCGGACATGGGGGCAGGTCAGGACCTAGGGTTGGGGGCTTGCTTTGGTTTGCTTTGCTCGCTTCGCTGCATTGTTTGCCTGCTTGGTTTGCTGCTTTGTGCTTGCTTTCGGTTGTCTCCCTTGCTGGGTTCATTCATCTCTTGGTTAAAGGCACCCTGTTTTGGTTCGATTGTTGTGCCAGCCGAGGGCACCGCTTTGCCCTTGGGACTGGGGGACTTAAACAATCTCTTCTTGTTGGTGGGATTGGGCCTGTTTATTCTCTCCCGAAATACTGTTTCAAACCCTTTCGCACATGGTAATCACAAAAAAGCGCACTTGGAAACGCCATTGAAACGACTATAGACTACGGAGCGGTGCTTGCTTGGAGGCTTCAGGGATAATGTTCTCAATTCATGGCAACCACGAAAAAGCGCATTGGAAACGCCATTGAAACGACTATAGACTACGGAGTGGTGCTTGCTTGGAGGCTTCAGGGATCGCAATGTCCTCAATTCATGGTAACCACGAAAAAGCGCACTTGGAAACGACATTGAAACGACTATAGACTACGGAGTGGTGCTTGCTTGGAGGCTTCAGGGATCGCAATGTCCTCAATTCATGGCAACCACGAAAAAGCGCACTTGGAAACGACATTGAAACAACTATAGACTACGGAGTGGTGCTTGCTTGGAGACTTCAGGGATCGCAATGTCCTCAATTCATGGCAACCACGATAAAGCGCACTTGGAAACGACATTGAAACGACTATAGACTACGGAGTGGTGCTTGCTTGGAGGCTTCAGGGATCGCAATGTCCTCAATTCATGGTAACCACGAAAAAGCGCACTTGGAAACGCCATTGAAACGACTATAGACCACGGAGTGGTGCTTGCTTGGAGGCTTCAGGGATAATGTTCTCAATTCATGGCAACCACGAAAAAGCGCACTTGGAAACGCCATTGAAACGACTATAGACTACGGAGTGGTGCTTGCTTGGGTGCTTGCTTGGAGGCTTCAGGGATCGCAATGTCCTCCCGAAAAAGCGCTTGGAAACGCCATTGAAACGACTATAGACTACGGAGTGGTGCTTGCTTGGAGGCTTCAGGGATCGCAATGTCCTCAATTCATGGCAACCACGAAAAAGCGCACTTGGAAATGCCCTACAGACTACGGAGTGGTGCTTGCTTGGGTTCTTGCTTGGAGGCTTCAGGGATCGCAATGTCCTCACGAAAAAGCGCACTTGGAAACGCCATTAAAACAACTATAGACTACGGAGTGGTGCTTGCTTGGAGGCTTCAGGGATCGCAATGTCCTCAATTCATGGCACCCACGAAAAAGCGCACTTGGAAACGCCATTGAAACGACTATAGACTACGGAGTGGTGCTTGCTTGGGTGCTTGCTTGGAGGCTTCAGGGATCGCAATGTTCTCACGAAAAAGCGCACTTGGAAACGACATTGAAACGCCTACCGGACATGTCGTGCAAGCACCCGATGGATGTGGGCAACGTGAGCACACATGATGCCGGGCTGAGGCCTTGAACTGATGACGCGAACTGCCGACGAGGCAGCGGTGTGAACTCTTTTCGGGTACGCAGCCACAAGGGGCAGCTCCCAACAGCGCTTTCCAGGTGCAGAGCAAACTTTTTCCACGTGCAATTCGTGTCATTGAGGTTCCTGTCTGCAGTTTGCCATCCTCCGGGCATGTTGTGCATTCCTGGACAATGTCAAGGTGGTTGGTAGTCGAGTGTTGGTGGTTAGTCGTTTCCGAGGACAAAACGCCTACGCCTTGTTCCGCATCGCCCACTCGGGACCATCCAAACGCCGATTGTCGCTTGTCAGGTGGCCAAAGCCAGCGACGGCCCTGCGCGGGAGGAAGCAGCGACTTCCAGCTGCCTGCAAGAGGTTTCGGATCCGGCGGAGCCTGTGGCAGAAGTGGGGCTGTTGTAGCCAGCGACTTTTGGGCATGAAGATCCCTTGGCCTGGTGTCTTGAGTTTAAATCGCGTCTTGTACACTCCTTCCTTTACATGTGGCTGGCCCTCTTGGCAGCGAAACTCAGCCTCAACCAAAGAACATAGTTGGCAAAACGATGAACACCTGGGCCCAAAAAGGGGTGGCCCAGCACGAAGTCCCTGGTCGGGTGCCAATTGGGTGCCTTATGTTTGACCACTCACATAACTTCAGTCCCTTTGCATCAGGAGAGCTTCCACGGTGTTGACATCGCTGTGATCGCCCAGCAATTCCCCAGCAGCGCTTCCGCCTTGTGCCGCCCGGCCTTAGTGATCCGCGAAGCTCAGTTTCGATTTCACCGGGTTGTTTTGAGACGACCCAGAACTGTAAAAAGCATGCGAACCATCACATCTTCGCAGTGGCAGAGAAACTCCTGTAGATACTGCGGAATTGACAGGAAGATGTGTTTCCCTGACAAGCTTGGTTTAGAGGAGACAAAACCCGTGCTTTGTTCAATTCTTGGGTGTCGCTGTTGAGCTATCCAAGAAGGGTGCCAAGCCCATGTTGTGTGTGCAGAAGCTAGCGTAAGTTAATGGTAACCCCAACTACTGCAGGGGTCACCCCTTCGTGCTCATGGTGGTTTGTCTAAAAGCCATTGCCCTGTGTTTCTCTCTGATGAGATTCTAGGTGATTGACATCCCGAGCATCTGGGATGATTCATAGCTCCACTTGTTGCTTCCTGGGAATTGGACTGCCATTTGGGATATGTCGAACACCGGAGGTGGCATTGAATGAGATGATATGGATGTAGTGGTATGGAATACGGTTGAGACATTGATCCAGAGTTTAGCCGTTCGATGAGGGCGTATCCTTGCCTCCAACGTGGTTGAGCGTCCCAAAACCAGCCATTAGTGGATCCTCAAATAGTGGACATGGTCGGTCCATGTTCATGGCGGGGCTGAACTGCGTACACCCGTATCATCACATTCTGAGGATACAAGATATGTTTTCTGCAATGTTACATGTGGCTCTGTCCACCACATTCACAGCGACCAACACTAAAAGGACAGAATATCATATAAGCCGCGCATCGTCCGCAATCTTCCACGGCATGTTGTTTTTGTTTCCTCGCACGCGTTTTGCTTCGGCGGCTTCCGGCGTTCCAAAAGTCAAGCCATGTTCAGAGAAAATCCGGTGAAATGCCGTCAGCCGGTAGCTCCGAGCCTTCCGCGGAGACAAGCCTTGCACTCTGCACGGAAGCTGCGAGCTGTCCGCGCTCTGTCCGCAGAATCCCGGGGTGCCATCCCAAGAAGTGTCTCAGCTCGTTTTGGGCATCCCATTTTGGGACTCCATCATCTTGGCATCCCATTATGGGAATTTATCATCTTGGCATCCCATGTTGAGAATCTCAGGCCGGCCTCAGTTCTTCTCTCCCTGGCCCCATTCCCAAGTCCCTCCGAGAAAAAATCTCCGGCCAGCGGCCAGCGGTGGGATTTTTTCCCTCTGCTCCGATCGTCCGGAGGCCAGCTGCGGGATGACTTGGTGCTGGAGGCGGAGCGGCCGCTGGCGCCCTGGGAGCTCACGAGGCTGGGGGCGCGCGCCGCCATGCGCGCGGTGCTGGCGGGCAACGCGTCGGCCCTCAAAGGCCGGGCGTTGGTTCGGGGGGGTTGGGGGGGGGCTGGGCGTATGAAGTTGGACGCGGGAGGGAAGGGGCAGGAAAAGGAAAAAAAGGCAGGTGGATGTAAGTGATGCAAGTTGAATGGGTGAAAATACGGCGAATGGGGGGATATTGTATTCACATAGATGTGTTTGGCTGTATGCTCACATTTGTAACGGGTTGCGTGTTCATATGCATAGACACACACATGCCTCCACGGATTCCCCCACAATGGCAGGCCAACTGGCCAGCTTTCTTTTGGTTGGTTGTTCAAAGCCGCCCGGTGTCCAATCATTGCTGGCGCGTTGGGAAAGGAGCAGCGCAGTCTGTCGCTTTGAAGAAGAGCGCGATCGAGACCTTCCAGCTCGCCAAAAAGAAACAACGAGCTGCTAGCAATGAGGAACTCATGAATTCCGAACATGGTCAACCGTTGTCAAGGTCGCTCCAAAAAGCCCACAAGGTTCGAAAGAAAGTTAGTTTTGTCGGACACGCAAGCAATCTCGCCGTGCCAGGCTTGCAGGCCCTGGGTGAAGTGGCACAGGACTCAAGTCGAAGGTTGGAGGGACGGTGGGATTCGCTGAACCCGGTCCATCCAAGTGGCAGAGGCTGAGGAATGCCTTCTCCCTGCCCGGAGTCTTTTCTGAAACCTTTCAGTCTGTCGGCGTGATCCTCGTTACACACAGCTGGCGTTCAGGCGAAGCTGAGCACTCCATTCTCGAACAAGTTGGCTGTAGCTGTAGGATTGCCGCCGAGAAACAGGAATGCCCAGTCCAGTTCTGCTGACATGTTGGTTTCCATCATTGTGTAACGGTTTCACTGGCAGCCTGCCAGGTTTGCACACGCTGCATATTTGCAAAGGACCATTGATTGGACGCGGGCATACATCATGAAGAACTATGTCTCCTTTGTGTTTGGTTCAGCTTTCCTCTGTTTGCTCAATCCGTCGAAGCATTTGCTTTGCTTTCACTTGGTTGAAAGTTGAAGGGTATTCTGCAGTGTTGAAGCATTCCAATCGGCCACACAGGCCCCTGGTTTCCACTTCGTGTTGACCCAGCGAGTGTCTTCAACACGGCCGCAGGACTATCCCTCCGGCTGGGGCCGCGCCCTGTCTGCCGGCACAGCGGAGGATGCCCAACGAGCCCGTGAGCTGATGGAGGAGGCGCAGGCGAGGTCGATGGAGGTCGAAACGCGTTGATGTGGGCCACTGGACGCAAGCCTCAGTCCGAAAATTTCTCGTGGAAGTTGTTTGTTGCAAAATCGGGTGGACACGGAAAGGGCTCGGACGGCATTTTTAGCCTCATCACCAGCACTTCCGTTGCTTCGCAGCGGATGCTGGTGTGGCTCTAGTTGGGCTAGGTGTGTGAAATTGCTTGCGTTGAGGTCTGTAGATAGGCGGACGGATGTCAAATTCATGGGACCTGTTTCACCCCTTGGTCTGAACCCATGCGCCATGAGCGCTGTCCACGAGGCCCCGACGAGTTGGTCCGTCCGACCGTTTGTCCATGCGGCTGCGTGTTTCTTGAGGGTACCCTTGTCAGCTCGTCAAGGGAAGCCAAGACGAATTCCCCATCTTTGGAGCATCCGCCATGTTTCTCTCGGCATCGACTCGGGGGCTTTCTGGCACTGAGGCCATCAAGACCGAGGACTCGCTGGAGGTGAACGGCTGGCAAGTGCCGCTGAAGCAGCGAGGACTGCGGATGGAGGCATTAGGGAAGCTATCCAAAGGTGATATTGTTGAGGCCAACCCGGGGACTCGCAATCTTAGGGATCTCTCCAGGTGGGTGGTTGCCATTGGTGGGTCTTGGAAACTGTCCGAAAAGATCAGCCATTTTTTGAGACAGACCTGCGAAATCACAAGTTGTCTCACAGACACTTGCTGCTTGGCAAGGCGGTTGAATTAGCGGAGAGGTTTTCTGCCCACCTGTACTTTGCGTGCTCCACCGCACAGGGCGTAGACAACCCTTTCGAGTTTACGCACAAATTCCAAATTCGGGATAGAGCCTAAGTAGCTCAATTGTGGATGCAATACCCTTGCGGACATCGATTGTCAAACCTTGCGCAACCACGTGTGTGGCGATGAAGCCCGGATCTACCTTTGGCAAGGGGGTGGCACTCTGACCGAAAGATCATTGCATCTCACGCCTGAGGAGAAAGACCTGCATGTCGGCACGGTGATGCGCTGGCACACTTGCACACTTGCACACTTGCACACGCACACAGACACAGACACAGACACAGACACAGACACACACACACACACACACACACACACACACACACACACACACACACACACACACACACACACTTGCACACACACTTGCACACACACTTGCACACACACTTGCACACACACTTGCACACACACTTGCACACACACTTGCACACACACTTGCACACACACTTGCACACACAGACACAGACACACACACACAAACACAAACACACACTTGCACACACAGACACAGACACAGACACAGACACACACACACACACACACACACAAACACAAACACAAACACAAACACAAACACAAACACAAACACAGACACAAACACAGACACAGACACAGACACAGACACAGACACAGACACAGACACAGACACAGACACAGACACACACACACACACACACACACACACATATGCAGACACAAACACAAAAAACACACCCACACATAACCAGAACAACGCGCACAGACTTGCTTCAAAAGTCAGGCACCCGGTTCTGAGTAGTGGAGGATTCAGCATTATGGGTTTGGGGGCAAACGTGGAATGAATGTGCTTGATGAACGGATTAGGCCTCCGCGAGTCTGCGACATGATCGGTATTTATGTTGATTCTTTGTTGAATTTGTTCCTCCAAACATGGCACGACTTGTGTGGGGATTTAGCTGAGCGGAACGACCAACTTGCAGCGCGAGTGGCTGATGGCCCTGCAGGGTTGCTCCCAGACCCTGAGGTTTGGGGGCCGCAGCTGTGATACCTTGGTGCAAGTGTGTGTGTGTGTGAAGTGTGTGTGTGTGTGTAAGCGTAAGTGTAAATACTATCTTTGTGTTGTTTGTTTGTTGGGGGGATTCGGGGCGTAGCGCCAATGATAGCGACCAGTGTTGTTGTTGCTTTTGAACTGTTTTGCGACGCACGCTTGTGTACACTGGGAACGTGCGTGCAACTCTCGAAACACTGGGCAGAGGTGCAGAACACGGGTGCATACTATACAGTTGTGCGGAACTTGCAGCACGAGCGTGCGCGCGAAACAGATGTGTATACACGCGAGACGCGTGTGCATTCACTCTGAGAATGCACGTGTGCATAGCCAATAAACACATGTATGTACACCAGGCAGACACAAGCATACGAGCGGAACACACACAAACGACCTTACATGTGTACGCACTGCGAACACACACGTGTACACACTGCGTAGCCGCGTAAGTCCCCCGCTCCCTGCCGCTGGGTGAAATGCTCATCGTGACGAAACCGTTCGCGAGAGGAATAACTCATCAAGTCTCTCCGGAGAACCCTGCAGGTTGAATCTCCTCTTCTTTCCCAGCGGGTCACGGAGTTCCATCCCCAAAGCCAAACTAAAAATGGGCCTTCTGTCACCGAAAAGCGCTGTGCATGAGAATGCCCTGCGCGCGCTTCTCGCGCTGATCCCGCGCGAGGAGTGCTGTCGCTGCTGCGGTCCCAGCAGCCGCTGTTTCGGGCCGCGGAGCTGCTGAGCCGCGAGGGCGTGCCCCAGGCTGTGGCCTTTGAGCTGCCACGCGGACGGAAAGGATGGAGAGGATGGAGAAGCCAACAGCAGCCAGCCAGCCAACCAGCCAACCAACCACCACCGCAGCAACTAACCATTGAAAAGATGTTCGAAAGCTTGCGAAAAGCTGTGGAATCCCCAAACAGTGCGTCTTCACGGGGTTCTTAGGCCGGGGTTTGGATTCGTGCCGAGTGTCCGATCGCTGAGGCTCAGGGAGGCGCAGAGCGGCCAGGTGCCGACGAAGGTGGACACCGGGGACCCGCGGCTCAGCGCGCTGAACGCCGAGGCGAGCCCAGCCTTCGACCTCAGTGGCCGGCGACAAGAGAAGCTCGGCGCCAGCCAGGAGGGGGGTGGTGTGGGGGGTAGTGGTGGAGGGTGGTGGTGGGGGTGGTGGGGGGGGGGAGAGTGTTGCTCAAAAACTCGCCCAAGATCCTGATGCCAGGCGGTTTCTTTGGTGTTCCTCGGATGACGGATTAGGATTCACGCCCCATTTTGAACAAACAAATGGGGCTGTTGCGAGGGAGAAGCATGTTCCCTCTTCCTGCCCTGCAGCGTTCTAGGTTTGGGCGATCGGCTATATACGTCACTGTCACAAGTGCAGGACTCCCTTTGTGAGCTGTCCATAGTTTCGAAGAGCGCTTTGCGAGTAGTCCTCATCTGGCTTGATTGCTGTGTCCCTTGCTCTTGGAGTGGAAGGATACTCAATGCTTCGCCAGGCACAAATCCCAAGTGGCAGGTTTGCCCCCACCGAATTATGTAAAGAATTAGCCTCCCAACCTATCTTATGGCAAAAAGCCATAGCACAGCAGAGTGAGGGATCATCTGCAAAGGCACAGATGTTTGCACATGTTGGAGAGCAAACGCACATACAAACACACATGCTACACACACACACGCATGCACGCGCACGCCCACAAGTACACGCACACCCACTCGCCTGTCACACACACACACACACACGCCTGTCACACGCACACACACACACACACACACACACACACACACACACACACACACGTTCACGCGCACGCACCCGCACACGCGCACGCACCCGCACACGCACCCGCACCCGCACCCGCACCTGCCCGCGCACACGCACACGCGCACGCACATGCCCACCCGCACCCCCACCCACACCCACACCCACACACACACACACACCACACCACACACCATACGCCACCCCACACCACACCACACAACACAACACAACACCACACCACACCACACCGCGCACACACAACACACACACACACACGCGCGCGCGCACACACATCACACACACTCACTCACTCACTCACTCACTCACTCACTCACACACACACACACACACACGCACACGCACACGCACACGCACACGCACACGCACACGCACACGCACACGCACACACACACCCACGCACGCACGCACGCACGCACGCGCGCACGCGCACGCGCGCGCGCGCGCACGCGCACGCACACGCACACGCACACGCACACCTTCACGCGCACGCACACGCACCCGCACCTGCACCTGCACGCGCACCCGCACATGCACACGCACACGCACACTTCCACACAACACAACACAACACAACACCACACCGCGCACACACACAACACACACACACACACACACGCGCGCGCGCGCACATTACACACACACACACACACTCTCCAACGCCAACGCCAGCGCCAACGCCCACGCCCACGCCACGCCATGCCACGCCACGCCACGCCGCACCCACGCAACGAACGCAATCATATTAATCGCACAGGAGTCGTGATATACTAGCAACAGGGGTTGAAGGGTGATACTGGTAGTTCGGGGACCAAACTGCAACATTTTACTTCAGATTCATTTTGGTTCCCCCTTCAAAACCATCCCCAAAGCGTCCCTTTCCGGATTGGACATTTTCGGGCGCTTGTGCCCAAGGATGGTTGGAGTTGGCCTGGTGGTGGATGTGTGCGATCGCAAGCAGATGCAATGGGTCAACAAGGCTCGGGTGGATTTGCATCACAGGGGTCAGTTTGAGGATCTTTGAGGCATAGGTTTGGTGGTGGTTTTGCTTGTCTGACAAGCAGCAAACAGCTACTCAACTGCAGGACATGGAAAATGACCAGACATAGGGGACATCGATATCTGCAACTCACGCACAGCGACCCAACCGCAGGACTGATGCAAACCAATCAGACATTTGCTGACATAAACATCACAAACAAACATCGCAAGTGAAGGACCGATAACCTGACCAAACATTTCGGACATGGATATCCTCCGCAACTGACAAGCAGCTTCGCAAGTGCAAGGACATAGAAACGACCCGGCATTTGGCACATGGAATTCTGCAACTGTCGAACAGCCACGCAACTGCAGGAAAAAAAACTGATCGCCACTTAGGACCTAGGCTCCCCCGGTGCAAACGCATGAAAACACCGCTTACCTTGTTCAGGCCAGTCTTCCTTTGTGCGTTTTGAAAGGCACCCCCAAAGAAGGAGAGAGGCTCGAACTTTCCAACACACACACACACACACCCCACCCATGTACCACCCCCCCCCCACCCGCCCCAGCCTGAAGTGAGCCAGGTGCTTTCGCAGAAGCACAACGCCCTGGTGTGGGTGCGCTTCCAGAGCAGCGCGGTGCCTTGGCCAACGCAGACACCTCCAGTTTTGTTTTGGGGGGCTTTTTCAGGGTGTGAAAGGATGGGGTGGGCAAAAAAACGGCTTGAGCGCCCTTCTTGTTGGCGGTGTTTGAAGGGGGATGTCCTGGTCACCACTTGATTCAGCACATCCAACCAGAGTTTCAGAAGCATGTAAAGGGAAAATTATGAAATTGAGGACCGGGGTTGTCCCTCGCGAAGGTGCGAGTAATGCCCCCCACCAGTGCTGACCACACGAGACCCAGCGATTCAGGGTCATTGCAAACAGTCGCACAAATCGGCTTGGCGGGCTTGCTCACGAGTCTGGTGGGTGAACGTCTCGGTAGCCACGTCGCTTGTCCATGCTTGGGGAACCTCATCCACATGGCTTTTGTCAAGCATAGCCCCTCTCTTTTCAAAGGCTTGCTGACAAATTTGCCGCCTGGTTTTGCACTTGTCATGGGGCGACTCAGGCGTTGGCATCTTTGCTTCAGCCCGAGGCTGAGTGAGGAGTGGAGACAGTCGAGCGCAGCATTATGCTTCGAATGGCAGCCCTCAAGGCCTCATATCCAGCCCAATGAATCGCGAGAACCGCCCAGATGCAGTCCATAGCAGAAATATAATGTACATATATTATATACTTGAATGATATACATATAAACAAGCCTTGTGTGTGTGTGTGTTCCACAACTTTCCAGGCTGTCAAATACCGTTTGCCCGATACATGCTCAGGGCACGAAAGTCAATCTTGTTGCCAAGGATTATGCCGCATTGGGCAAGTGGGGGCGGATCTGCATCACTCTGAGGTCGGCTTTGAGTTTGCTGGTCAAAGGCAAGCCAGGGCCAGATGTTGCCAAGAAGTACCTCGCCAAGCTGGTGAAACAACATCCAGCACCTCAGCAAAAGTCCAGGCACAAACACACATAGACAAGCACACCCACAAATGAGCATATTCAGGCGCACACACACACACACACACACACACACACACACACACACACACACACGAGGGTTCCGAGCGTTCACTGAATGAGGCCTTCATTTGCATTATCCGTGTAATTATATGTGTGAGGATTGGAAGCCGATCATCAAGTCTGCACCATTCAGCCTGTGCTCAGCCTTTCTGTTGGCCAACTGTGAAGCGACACCTTTTGTGCCGGGGTGCACTTGCTCGCTGAGGAGGAGAATCTGTGCGACGCAGAGGGCGAAAAGCTTGCCCGGACTCTCTTCCAGAAAGCCTGGCAGAAGCACAGCCAGGCCGGTCTCAAAGTAAAACACCTTCCTTTTGGTTGGCAGAAATGAGTCAAGCGCTGAAAGCCCCGGGGTGTTTTGGGGTCAGCCGAAATCAGGGGGTCCGTTTGAACCTTTGACCCCAGGGGGTGCCGGAGCTGCTGGGAGGGGCGGTGCCATGGCTCTTCCCAGCGCCCAGCGCCTCCCTGAACGGCCGCATGCTGGCGGATCCGGAGAGGCCGGCGTGTGTCTCCCAAAAGACGTGACTGACCCCCTCGGTGGAATCCGGTGACACGATCTTGAAGTGTACACCTCCTGGCATGGTTTTATTGGTGCTCATGAAGGGTAGCTCAAGGGTAGCCTAGATAGTTTTGAAACAAATAGACTTTATTGCTTTCCACATGCGCCCTTGAAACGGACTTCTAAAACGAAACAAACCACCTGAGCGTCGTGTATCAGGCTCATTACAGGGGCAGACATGGGGCAACTTCCTTTGCTTCCAGATCAACAAGCTGTCCAGATATTTACTTGCCTTAATGTTTTTTTGTTGAGGCCCCCGTTCCGCTGCATTTGTTATTTTTTTGTTTTTTGTTTTTGTTCCCGGTGTTCAGGACACTGGAGCAGGACATTCATCAGGAGTTCGAGAGCTTGTCGATGACCTTTCAGATGTTGTCCATGCGCATGGGGAGGGTGGGCCAAAGGGAGATCACCAACTTCGCCTACAGCGCCCGGTTCCACCCGAGCCTTGGCAAAGAACCGCGAGCTTTCGCGAGGGAAAACCGGGGAAAACTGGGATCTTGAGGCAGAAGAAATCCCGGGGCGCGAGCGCTGGATTTCCACAAGAAGCGACCAATAGGGAATTCACAAATAAACGACCGCCGATGCCAAAAGTGCACGGCCCAGATGGATTTCCGAATGCCCAAGCGCCGCTGTATCGTCTTTTTTGTATTGGTGGAAGCATGAGCCCGAGGATGTCCTTCCGCATGGAGCCGCAGGCACGGCACGGCGATGGACCTGTACAGGTCGATGTATTTTATTTTTGGTACCTGCCGTTTCTTTGCTTGCTCGTTGAAGATTGAAGACATCTAAGTGTTTTTGCCATGTCTTTCTTCTTTGAGCTTTGTTTCTGGAAGAATTCCCCAAAAAACGTCCATTCTCCAACCCTTTTCTCGTATGAATTCTCCGCCCCGACGGAGTGATGGCAGGTGCTGAGCGCCTGGCACGAGGGCATCTCCAACGCGCCGGCGCGGCACCTGCCGCTGCGCCCGGCACTGCTGCTGCCGCTGCCCGGGGCGTCCTCCGGCGCGAGCGCCGCGGGCGCGGGCTCCACGGAGTCGACGCCGGCGGTGCACCTGGTGGTGCTGGGGTCCAGGCAGAAGCTGATTCAGGACTCGAAACCCTTCCTTGGGTTCCGGGGGGCAGTTGGCCTGCAAAATCTTCTTGCAGGCCCGTCGTTGGAGCAGGTTTATGGTTTGATTGATTTGCAGTTGCTCATGTTTGCAGACTTGATTTCATCCCATCCATACATTTAAAGTATGATAATGGGGTGGCGAAGAGGTGTTTAGATGGACTAAAGACTGCCATGAGTTTTGCTTGCGAGCTGTTTCCCTACCAAGGAATGACACAGTTAGTTTCCTGTGTCATTGTGCAAGCATTTGGTGCACAGATTGGCGTATTCAGAACATGGCGGTTCCTTGTAGGATCCTTAACTATCTCAGCACAAGAACAGCGAGTTTGAGCAGCGTCAGCTTCACCAGAGTTCATTTAGCTCCAGAAAGGGCCGACATGGATGGAGTCCCTCGTGTTTCTTGGCACTTGTCAAGCATCGGTTCCTTCTGCCCTTTTCCTAGCTCACCCCACTCTACCGCAGGATGCTGCTGCACTGCTAGAAGCCTACAGCCAGCTCTTCTCTTCTGCCAATCGCCGATATTTGCACGTGGCCAGAGCCTCAGAGCCGAGGCAGTGAAACAAATCAAAGGGCCTCGCTGCCGTGTGGCTATGCTCCCAAAGTCTTGCTAAGCTCCCAGCTTCTTAAGTCTTACCCTAACCTAGTCCAACAAGTGCGGCGTTGTAATGGTTTCGTCACCTTGTACCAAGCAGCTTCCACAAAAAGCTGGCCAGACGGATGTGGGGAGGCTCACAACGTCATGAGCATGTCTCACAATGGAACCACTTTAATGGCTGCTTCCTGGTGCAGGGAGTCATCAGTATGTCATTCTTGTGTCTAGTCTCGCCACTGGAGTCCAAGACCACTTCAGGGCTCACCCTGAGTGTCCATGGGGGTCTGGCCAAGCCTGGCGAGTATAGGGTTGCCCCACCTCCCCATGTGTTTTGCGTTCATCAGCATGGCCGCAGCCGCAGCTCCGGCTTTGCCCCGCTTAAGCTGGGGAAAGGCGGCTTCCGTGGGCGTTGCGCCCAAGGAAGCTGTCGCTTGGGGCCGTCACCAACGACTTCCCCATGGACGTTTTTGGCTGCCGGGGGGGGCCATATTTGTTGCCTCTGATTTTCCCATTTGTTTCCTCCCCATACGGCCGGATGCGCCGACCCCGAGCCGATCGCCAAGGCGGTGAGCGCCAACTGCAGCGCGCCCTTCAGCGCCGCGGCAGCTCTGCGCCGGTGCCTGCGGCGAAAGCCGCTGCTGGAGTTGCCCAAGGCAGCCGCGACCGGAGATGGCCGCGAGCTGTGGATCTAACTTCATGACAGTTGGGCGGTTTGTGTTGGAGGGTACGCGAAGGTTTCGAAGGGAGCCTTGGGGAGAAAAAGTGGTTAGTTTCCCTGAGTTGAAGGAACTTGAAGTGTCCAAGAAGGGGAGGCGCTTCTGGGGAGCCAAAATCGAAAGCAAGACTGCTGCGGTTGGCTTCGTCTACCGTTCAAACCAAACACGGAACCACTCGCGCCTCGTCCTCCTCTTCCAGGCCCTGGACGCATGGCGTCTCCGTCCCAGAGACTTACTCGGAAAACCTTCGAACATATCCAACCGGAAAACTACGGCAATAAGGCAACCGACCAGTTTGAAATTGTCGAGGGCCTTGATGCGTGGAAGCGCCCAAAACCTGGTCAGAATTTCCGTTGGGGCATCACCATGACAAAGAAGGACGAGAAGGGCGGAAGTCCCCTTTTAAGGGCACCGGAAGCCCCCTTTCAAGGGTCATACGGTGCCCTGGAGGCCTGGCGTTTAGCGTACCCCTGGGGAGGCTCTGCAGTCCTTGGGCGACGCCACAGCGTCAGAGATCCTGGCAGCATGCGGCGCCGAGGCGCAGCCGGGAGCCGATGGAAGGTTTGGCGGAATCTGGCTTGGTATGTTGAATTAGGGGTGTGTCGTTTTCTATTGACCCCTCAAAATGGTGGTTTTCCTCTTGGTTTCCTTTTTTTTTGCACTGCCCAAACGAGGAGTCCCAAAAAAGAAAAGAAAAACTGCCCACCCAAAGGTTGAATACGTTGGGCACTTGTGTTTGCTTTGCTCGCAGCTCACGTCCCAGCTTCCGGCCCCATCCAGGTCCCCAGCTTCGCTGGCCAAGCCTCGCAGGTGGACCTGAGCTTCACGGCGGAGGATGCTGCACACTGTGAAAAGCAGAAGCCACTGCACGACTTAGGACAGAGCGAGCCAGTGTCCATGAGAGGCCCTTCCAAGTTTTGACGAAGTTGCTCAAATTTGTTTGCGTGATTGCTTGGTTGGTTGTCTGTTTGTTTGTTTCATGTTTGTTTGCTTGTTGCTGCTGCTGCTGCTGCTGCTGCTGCTGCTGCTGCTGCTGCTGCTGCTGCTGCTGCTGCTGCTGCTGCTGCTGCTGCTGCTGCTGCTGCTGCTGCTGCTTTCAGTCAATGGGATAGTGTTCCCTCCGAGATTCTCCGCAGTGCCAGGAATGGCCGGGGCCACAGTTCTCTGGGTGAACGGCCGCCTCTTCCAGCCCGCGCTGCCGCTGAGCGCGGGGATTTTGGAGCACGCGGAGCGCCTAGAGGTGGAGTACACCAAGGCAAGGACTTCCCAATGGAACCTGACAGAAACCCCCAAGCCGGTCCAACAAGGCGGCGTTGCCAGATTTTCCCCATGTTTGTTTGGCGACTGATTGCAGATTCCGCAATAAGCAGCACATTCAGATTCCTGTAGATTTGGTCCTTAGCCTGAAAAACGGTGCAGGGCTCACCGCCAGAAAGCCTGATGGCCAAGCTGAACCCCTCCACGAACCGCGACTACCTGGTCGCTTACGCGCGCCTGGGCAAAGCGTGAAGGGTTTCCCCGCGGGGCTTTTTTGGCTCCAGAGCTCAGGAGCAGCGTGTGACATTCTGACCTTGGCCATGCTTGAACATGGTGAGAGTTGTACCAAGTGTTAGCAAGTGATGTGATTGGACTGCGTCAAGCAACTGTGAGGCTCTGAAAGCATTGATGAAGTCGAAGTCCAAGTCGGATGCCAGAGTTTGGGAAGAAGTGATGTTTGGGTATGAATTTGAATTAAGGACCCTTTGGTGGATGTCATGTAGGTTGGGATTCTTGTCCACCCACCACTTTTGAAATGGTTCCCTAGGACAATCCATAGCCATTTGAGGAGTTGGCCTACAACCATTTTACGTGCTGCAGGCCCAAGGAGGCCTTGAACATCGGAGGGATCGCAACTCGTTGATCCATATATAAAAAAGGGCGCCTCGACCCGCTTTCGTCAAATTGATGCTTTCCTGAAATTCGATACCGGTGTGCAAAGCGTTTGCCACCGCAATGGAGCTTTCGAATAAGGGTTTACTTTTCAACTGAGGGCATGTCATTCGTTCAGTTCTGCTGGTTCCTTTTGGCTTCCCATCTTTTGGGCACACCCAACCACCCACCCAACCAGCCGCCCAACCGACCCGCGCGGCCCAGCCGCGCACGCCGCTGTGTCGCCCGCCCAACGCCCAGGCTGGCGGTGCGCGCCCGCGCCTCGGTGGAGGCGGTGCAGGCGCGGTCCGGCAATGGCGCCGGGGAGGAGGCGGAGCAGACCCAGGAGGAGCCACTCGCTGCGACGGAAACGGGTTACCGGTTTTGATGAGAAACGGCAACCAGTGCAATGATTGACCTGGTGCCCAGAATGGTTTTGGCTGAAAGAGGAATTTCAAACCCGAAGTGAAGGTTAAGGAAGATTCGCAACCCAAAATGCGGTGAAGCTGGCCTTTTGGATGTTGACATGGTGGGTAGACCACTTTAGTTCCAGCTTTGATTGTGACTCACATCTCCTTGAAGAGAAACTACAAGGAGATGGGCTTCATCGAAAATCAAACAGAAGCGATGGCTTGGGCTCATGGATCTCAACCTACAAGAAGGTTCCTCTTCCTATGGATCTTCTTCAGATGTCACACAGTGGTAGGTCGGTGTTCGTTCGTGTTGGTTTCCTTTCGAGAAAAAGACATTGCAGGGGGGAAAGAAGGCGCGCGCCCCTTCGTGAGGGGCTGCATGTTGCAAGTTTGCGTTTGTTGTGGTTCTTGGGTGCGTGTACAATCATAAAAGGGCCAACCCAAAGTCATATTGAGGAAAGCGGAAAATCACGCGCATCCCCTCTCAGAAACACATCATGTTCAGATTTGACCAACCCGGGCAAGAACGGGTGAGGTGGTAGCCATTGGCCGCACACAAGGTGGTTAAGCTGCGTGTGTTGTTTCATTGGCATGCACGGGTCCAGCGCATTGGGCCGGCCTGATCTGCCCTTTGAGAACTCACGCAGTGACCTTTGAAAGAAGTTCGGAAAGAACCCTAAACTATTTTGATGAGAAACACTGTTTTTAGAACGAAATCTTGCGCAAGGGCACTTCCAAACCGCAGATTGGTTGAAAGAAGCCTCCCCCCCGCACAGGTTTCTGATGTTTCTTTCGTCTCCAAAAGGACCCGCGGGGCATGGCGGAAGCCGCCTACAACTCGGTGCCAGAAGACCTGCGCCTGCACATCCCACCGAAGGCTCACACGGAGCAGCCCGCGGATTTTCGAAGCGGTTTGATTGGTGTGTTCAAGAAGGGGCACAAAGGGGCCCAAGCAAAGGTTGAGCTTTGTGTCTCCTTGGAAAATCCCAAACAAAATGAGGGTCCTGTTTGATCCAAATGTGATCTTGTCCATGGCTTGCTCCAGCTCCAAACTAATTAGGAGCACCTCACGCGTTCCGAGCTTGCACAAAGTTCGACAAGTCCTGGAGACTCTGCACTTGGTTTCTTTGCTGGGGGTGCATGGCACACTGGTACAGATACTCAAGGACTCTTGATTTGTACTTCTCCGATTCCAAAGCCCCGTTCGTCAATGTCTGTGTATTTGCTGCTGATCTTTTCTTGATTCATCTTGGATCCAGTCCTGGTCGCTTGGTGAGTCTGATCGATTGGTGGGTTGGGTCTGGCCTGGCCTGGTCTGGTCTGGTCTGGTTGGGCAGGGAAGCCGGGGACGCGGGGAAGTCAGGCAAGAAGCCTCTGAGAAGTTTTCCGGCAAAAAGCCTCCGGGGAGCGTTTGCTCCTCTCCGGGGAGCTTGTCCGGAGGAGCATGTCCGGAGCGCTTCTGGGGAAGCAGCTCCGGGGCAGCCCATGTTTGGGTCTGGTCTGGTTGGGTCTGGTTGGGTCTGGTTGGGTCTGGTTGAGTTGGGCTGGGTTGGGTTGGGTCTGGTTGCTTCCAGGGTGAAGTGGCGCCGATCCGGATCTTCGCACTGCTGGATCCCCTGGGCAAGTCGGCACAGCGCCTGCCACCGCTGTTGCAGCTCCTGCATGAGGAGTCCGGAGTCGTTTTGTTGGCCTGTGCTTAGCCTTTGGGCTACAAAACGCCCTCCAGAGTTGCCCTTTTGCTGGTGATTTTGTTCAGGGGTGAATGGAAGCCAAGGCATGTTCAGGATCTTCCATGTTTGGAAACACACATTTCTACAGTGCCCATCAACTCTTCATGTGGCGGCCATGGTGTAGGTTGTGGCAAATGCCTCAACCGCAAGTCAAGCGCGCTGCACTACGTGATTTGCAGCCTCCAAGCTTTGGGCAACACCGGAGCCGCCAGTCCACACTCCGGTCAAAACCAGGCGTCACCGCAGGTCAACTAGCGCCAATGATCACCAAACCTCACCACGATTCGGCTCGCTATGACAACCCTTTCCCCCAATCGAAACTCAGAACAACATGTTCCTCACCCGAAATCACTGTGTTTCTACAAACCAACTTATAGCCCAACCACCGAAGTTAGACTTTCTGATCCAATACATACAGACAGACACACAGACACACAGACACACAGACACACAGACACACAGACACACAGACACACACACACACACACAAAGACAAAGACAAAGACAAAGACAAAGACAAAGACAAAGACTACACACACACACACGCACGCACACACACACACACACACACAAACACGCACACACACACACACACACACACACACACACACACACACACACACACCACCACCCACCACCCACCCACCCACCCACCCACCACACGCACGCACGCACGCACGCACGCACGCACGCACGCACGCACGCACACTCGCACGCACGCACGCCCGCCGCCCGCCCGCGCCCGCCCCCGCCCGCCCGCCCGCCGCCCGCCCGCCGCCTGCACGCACGCCCGCCCGCGCGCGCGCGCACACGCACACGCACACGCACACGCACACGCACACGCACACGCACACGCGCACGCGCACGCGCACGCCCACGCGCACGCACACGCGCACGCGCACGCACACACCCACGCACCCACGCACCCACGCACCCACGCACCCACGCACCCACACACACACACACACACACACGCACACACGCACGCACGCACGCACGCACGCACGCCACGCACGCACGCACGCACGCACGCACGCACGCACGCACGCACCCACACACACACGCACCCACGCACGCACGCACGCACGCACGCACGCACGCACGCACGCACGCACGCACCCACACACACACACACACACAACGACTGCGCACATGCACACAAACACACATGCATGCATTATGTGTATGTATATATATATATACATATAGGTATATGTGTACACATATACAGATATAATATTATATATATATATATGTATACTGCAACCCTTCACCCATGTTTCCTGACGGGTTTGCATAAGCGTCTCAGGAGTTGGACGCGGAGGTCTTCTTGGCGATGCGGCCCCAGCGCTTGGCGGAGACCCCGTTGAAGGCGTACCTCCGCGCGGCGCCGGCACCCAAGGCGCCGCCAGGCGCATGGGAGGGCGGGGCTTGGGGGGGCGGAGGGGGGGAGGGGGGCTGGTGGAACCGGAGTTGGTGAGGGTTAGGATATGACAAACTGATGGACAAATTGGTAGGTCCATGGATGGCAAAGGTCCAGCTTTTTAGGTGTTCATGGAAAATTCAGTAGATGGAAGTCCACGGGTGTAGATTTGGTTTGGTCCATTTACCAGGGAAACCCATCTATGCTTATGAGCCTCATTGAAGCTCTTACAGAAGCTTAGCTGAAGAAAAACACTGCCATGGTGAGACCAGTGGGGAGTTCAGAGGGCATGTCTCATTGGGGTAGCACCTTTCGGTTGAAAGGAACCTAAGCCTTTGCCATTTGGAGATTCACCTTGATTTCAAGAAGCGATGAGTTTGAGATGGAACCAAACTCATGGGCGCCAGGGCCAGTTCCTTTGAACGGGCCGCTAGACCAGTGGCCGCAAAGTAGAACCTGACAACACAGGCCGTGAAAACGAAGCCCTGAAGCCCCGAAGCCCCGAAGTTGGTTGGAGGTTCCCAGCCGGCTCCGGTTGGAAGCTCTTTGGGCAAGGTGGCCTGCAGGCCTTGGGCGAGTGGGACGGCCGCATGAGCGGCGCGCGCATTGAGCTGCCGCCGCGACGGGGACAGCACCTTGGCCGAGAGGCCCCTGTTTTGCAACTTACACGGCCTCTCTCTCGTGGGTTCTGAACAGGGCCGGGGTGAAAGGCGTAAGAACCTTCCCATTGACCCCGAGCAAAATGCTTTGACTGGCCCAAAAAGGGGCCACAAGCGGGAGAAACCAATTGTTGGATTCCATTGGGAGGCTGAGAGTCAGAGTAGCGTCCGGATGCCATCCGGCGCACAACGGAAAGCATCGGCACGATCGCTGATCGCTTAGTTGGAGACTTCGGCCCAATGCAGCCATATTGGCAGAGGTATCCTTGCGAGTAAGACTGATGTGTGTGAGAGATTCGAGCGGGCTCACAGGTTGGGAGTGTCTAGAAGTGCCTGCATTTATTCCGCAATGCCTGCTTGGCTACTTCACTCCAGAATTGGATGAGGTCAACGGTGAAAATTCATGTAAGTTGCTGTGGCATTGTCAAGCGTCCCTTCAAGCGTTCACGCGCTGTGAAAGGTGTTTTATCGCCTAACTTTTACGTTTCACACCGGCAGGGGGTTTGGATTTCCGTGACGCTTTGTGTTTGAGGGCCAAATGTGGGAACCGGTGTTTTTTTTTTTTTACTAGCCCCGGCTCGGAGCTTAACCCCGGCTCGGAGACTGGTTGGTTAGTTGGTTGGTTGGTTGGTTGGTTGGTTGGTTGGTTGCTTGGTCAGCTGGGCGGCCGCATCCCCAGCATCCCAAGCATTACCGGTTTCTTGTCACGGCTGCGTATGGGGCATGACTTGATGCTCGGGATAGCCGGCCGCATCGCCAGCATTACTGGCCTCACTCGGACGGCTTTGATTTGGTGGCAGTTCAGGGTTGATCGGGGCTGGTTTGGGGTGAGTGTTGGGCTTGCTGAGATATTAATGCGGGCGGATCTTGGGTTTGTTTGGGGTTCATTTAGCCTCGGCAAAGGGCCGATATGCAGGATGCGGTTGGGAGGGTTTCAGGTTGACTTTGGGTCGGTTTTGGCTTGGTTGGGGCTGATTCGTGCTAGATGTGCGGCTGGTTTAGCCGTGGCTTTCGGGTTGCTTCAGGGATGTGGTTCTGCAAGTTTGGGGCCAGGATTGGCTGTGGGCGTTGCCCCAAACCACCAATCCTAGCCCAAAACTTGCAGAACCACATCCCTGAAGCAACCCGAAAGCCACGGCTAAACCAGCCGCACATCTAGCACGAATCAGCCCCAACCAAGCCAAAACCGACCCAAAGTCAACCTGAAACCCTCCCAACCGCATCCTGCATATCGGCCCTTTGCCGAGGCTAAATGAACCCCAAACAAACCCAAGATCCGCCCGCATTAATATCTCAGCAAGCCCAACACTCACCCCAAACCAGCCCCGATCAACCCTGAACTGCCACCAAATCAAAGCCGATAGGCAGCTCTCGTCCGAGTCAGGCCAGTAATGCTGGCGATGCGGCCGGCTATCCCGAGCATCAAGTCATGCCCCATACGCAGCCGTGACAAGAAACCGGTAATGCTGGCGATGCGGCCACCAACCCCGGAGGCCTTGTGCCGAGCCGGGGCTAGTAAAAAGCCGGGGCTAGTAAAACAAAAAACACCTCAAACCCAAATGTGCAGATCCTGAGAACGGCCCAAAATCTCTGTTGGTCCTCTAGCGTTTGTTTGGAGCGGCACCGTTATTTGGGTATGGGTCAAAATTAAAGCGGAAGGGGACGGCAGGTTATAGTCCTGGGTTACATTTACCAGGGCCCCATTTTGGGTACTGTTTTTTGACCCACTGCCATCTGGGTGCAGTCACACTATGTCACACCTCATTCCGCATCGAACAAAACACAGCTGTCGAGGCTGTTGCATCTTCAGCTCCTCTCGCCGGAGGATTGGCTCTGCTCGGCGGTGGACTCTAAGGAGGCGGATCTAGACAACATCCCCGCGGACGCCCCGCGGAACTCTCCAGGCGCCCAGGCCGGCTGGGACCGGTAGGCGAACTTGCGACGCCGTGTATCTCAGGCGGACTTGCCTCTTTTTGTTTGGCGGGAGATCATGCTGGTGGTTTTGGGGAATTCCTTCATCGGCTTGGATCAACTTGCCATCTTGGGCTGGCTCCATTGAACGCAATGCCACGAGTCAAGGAGAGCAACATGCAGGTAAGGAATGGTGAAGCTGTAGTCGATTGCTGTTTTGTGTGTGTGTAGTTCATCAAAATTCCGCGATGGCAATGACCAGCCTCTAAACAAGTGCCAAGCAGATTGGCCCATATTGCCAGGAGAACTACAGACAGAGAGGGAGAGAGAGAAGATGAGAGGAGACTGCCCAATGATACTAATGTAGGCAGCTTCCGGATGCCGGAATGGTGTTGATGTGAGCAGATGTAGCAGATGGGCACACTGCCGCAAATCCGCTTTGGTATGTGTTGTCACACATGCCGGCTCAAGCTCACCACTTTCCAGCGCGGGTTCCATATGAAAACCCGATGCGCATCGGCCAGGTACATGTCCGTTACGTGGTCGAAGCACTGTTCCTGGAAGGTTTTGCCGAGGCCAAGTGAGATGAGAAAGAGGGGGGGAGCGCGGGAATGGAGAGAGAGCGAGAGGAAGAGTGTCGGCAGGGAGGAAGCGAGAGATACGGAGGCAGGAAGGTGGGAAAAGAGAGGAAAGGCAGCAGGGAGGGAGAGGAAGATGGAGAAAGGGGGGAGGGGGAGGTTGAAAGAAGTGCCACTTGCAGCCAAAGCTTCGAGTATCATGTTAAGTTGGGTGAGGATGAACCTTGACATTGGCGCATGCTTCCAGCCGGCAGATCAGCTTGAAAGCCATACTGCAGAAGTAATGTTTGATAAGTACCGAAGGTTGCAGTCCGCTCTAGAGTACCCCTCGAATTGTCGTGTTATTCTGAAGAGCGTGATTTCACTGCGGTGCGGATGGTCGGTCAGCATGCTTCGACTGGCTGATGTGTAACTGTGCATTCGTGTTTGTGGGTGTATTTCCTTTGGGTTTGCCTCAAGCCCGGAGGGGGACCCACCCAGGGGCGGGGTGGGGGCATCCGGCTGTTTCGGCAGGACGGGCTGGGGCGGCCGGCCACCGGCCGGCAGCTGGCCCTGACGCCGCTCCGGGGCACAGAGCTCATGGCGGGGGACGAGAGCATGGCGCGAGAGCCCAGTGTCTTCCTCCGACCCCCGCCCCCCGCAGCTTCCTCAACAGCATGCGGGGGCCGTGCAAAACTGCCTGGAGTTGTCCAGGCGCCTTTATATGGAACAACCCCAATGTGGTGTTCTTCATTGATCTTAGGAGGGGTGGATTAGGGGAGGGGATATCTTGTGGTTTGATTGCGGGGTTCGGCTCAAGAGTCAAGCGACTCAAAACGGGCGGTATCCGGGCAAACTTGAAATCAATTGAAGAAGTTTGGTCTTCCTTCAAGAGAAACCAGGGGATTGTTTAAGTGGTGGCAACACAAATCCCCACTTCCTTGAAATGACGTGCATAGAGACATATGACAATATATATATATATGCTGCAAAACATATTGCTGAGAAACATGATTTGGAGGAGGGGTTGTCAATCAAGTACTATTTGAAAGGATTTGAAAAGGCAAAAAGGTGGCAGGGGGCTGATCATATACTATATGTAATATATGGTGTATGTATATACATATAGATATATACATACATACATACATACATACATACATGCATACATACATACATACATACATACATACATGCATGCATACATACATACATACATACATACACACACACATGCTTGAAGGGCTGTGTGCGTGTGTGTCTCAAGCGTGTAACGGGGGCTTTCGACATCAGGAATTTAACGTCAGCATCAACCCGAAGAGAAGATCGAGTGTGGTGAAAATGCTGTGGGGTGTAGACCAAAAAGACTCGGATGGGCTCGCCAGCATGGCTCGCCAGATGCACGTGAGCTCAAGCCCTTAGTCGATCAGGCAGGACCCTAGGACCGGAAAGGACAGGAGCCATGGCCTCCTCCCACGTTTTGTCCAGGATGGTCGCAAAGGAGGCCGTGCGTCACGAAGTTGCACTTGCGAGGTTCCTCGAGACCGTGGCAGAGAGCCCGGACGCCTTTGTGAAGAGCATCGAGATTGTGCGATTCCGGCAAGAAATCCACAAGAAGTACCAGAAGCAAGGCGTTGAAGTTGTTTGTCAAGAACAGAGCCCACAATCAGAAGAAGTGCCTCAAGTGCACCCGTCCAAAGCATGTCCACTTCTCCAATCCAGCAAGGCGACGGCTGAGCAGAGGCTTGTCTGTTTGTAATTCAGCGTTTTGGCCTGGCAGGGTGGCTGCCTAGATGCCCATTTGTTCTTGAAGTGTTGCAGCAGGCTGCCTTAGAGTCTCGGCGAGGTCATTCAGATGGCCGCTCGTGTGAGGACAAGATCAGTATGGTAGCCCCATGCCCATATAGCCCAAGGCCTCAGACACGAGATCCGCCGGCTCAATCAGCCCTTGGCCAATTCTTGAGCTGTTTTGATCATTTAGACTGTTGCCCCGAGCTCAACTTTGGGCTCATGTTTGCTGGGCACCAGCTGCGACGCTGTTGCGCTGTGGCCAGCTGGAGGTTGGCCAGACTGCGCAACAGCTGTCGCGCTCCAATCGCCGTGCTTCAACTCACTTCCGATGTAAGTGCAACGGCACGCCGAGTATAACCGGAGCACCCTGCCGTTTGCAGTGTCTTACCGCATTAGTTGCGGCGGTCAGCAGTCACTACCAGAGCAATTCTTGGTAGCTTATTCGTTTGACGGCCGACGGAACAGCAAAGAGAGCTCCTGGCGGGAACCCGGCAAGCTGATATGTTGGATGGGCTGTGCATTTGTTGTTAAAATCCCAAAGTGATTGCATGTGATGCCAGACTCGATGTTTTCGGCGTCTAGGTGAAGGATTGGAACGGTGGTTTTCGGAAGCTCCAGCCCTCCTGCCCCAAATTGACTTCGAGCTCAAAAAGAGCGTTCCCCCCCGCCCAAAAAAAAAGCTCCAGCCCCTCCTGCGGTCCACCCCAAACAAAATGAGGCGTGGGTTCCAGGTTGGTTTGCAGGGGAGTCCAACGGCAGCATGCAAGGTCGTGAAGAGTGGGTACTTCCAGCTGCGGCAACGTCCTGGGGTGTGCCTCGGTTTGATAGAAATAGTGGCAAATTGGGGGACTGGTTGGTTCAGGTTGTTTCCAGTCTTCCTGGCTGTGGGTCAAAACCAACGGTGGCATTTTTGGGTAGGCGAATTCACCACCCATTTTAGTCTATGGTGGGGATTGGGATGTTCACTGGGGGTACGGGATTTTGACCCATGGCCTCTCGGGGCAAGTTGTCAAGAGGCGAATACCCTAGGTCAAAAGAGGTGAAGCTACACGGAGTGTTGACCATAAGGCGAGTTGAAAAGAATTGATCATATGTGAGGGAGCAGCTTGCATCGATGCGAATCGAGTGGGTCATAAGGCAATTGGGTTCAGTTCCGTGGTTTGGATCTTTCAGTTCGTGGCATCACTAAGGTCTAGGATTGTCAGTGCCAAGTTTGCGGTTGATGAAACAATCGGATAGCACAAGTCGCAATGGGTTGCCTAGAATTTGTCCTAGCAAAGTTCTCAAGAGCCACACATCAGCTGGCGATCGTTACGCACGTAGTCTTGGCTTCATGTCAATGTGTTGGCTGGCTGGCATCAATTGTGCTTGGAACTTTGCAAGTTTTTTGTTTTTTTTTAAGACACACTTGTGTAGCTTGTTGCTACATTCAATGCTAACCCAGAAATTGCAAACACTATGTTCAGGGCAAACCAAACTTCATGTTCCACTCCATTCCCAGCAAATGAATGGCTATGAAACTGAATCGGGGACCCTTTGGTGGACATGAATGACACAGCTGATGTCCACGAACCCTTTCAATGCTCCCCGTTTCCGGCGATGCCTCGCACGCGGCTGGACGTGCCGATGAGAAGCCACGAACTGTGGAGATTCCGATGCTTGGGGGAGTACCCCTGAAGCCCAACACACAACCGCCTTAGATGGTTTGACCGCAGTTCAGTGCGGGAAACCGACAATGTCAGAAACTCAGAGACTTTGCAAGGCATAGCCTGCTTCAATACCACAGGGCTTCAAAAAGGGAGGCTGGCTCGCAATGGTCCCATGGCTTTGCCACACTCTTGGCGAGGAAGGCACAAGATTCCTTGTCCAGCCATTTGGGTTGGTCCAACGGTGCATTTATTTCTTAGTTTCCTTCAAACCAAAAGCATCCAGTCTAGGTTGTTGTATTACACCCTGGGATTACACCCTTGGGAAATGGCCCAAAATGGTGCAACATAACATGTTTTTATCCCGGAAATATGCCCTACGTGGGGTCATGTCCCAGCGGGCGTAATCCCAGGGTGCAAGACAAAAGCCCTTAGATCCAGACATGGCTGTGGGTCAAAAAATAGGCACCCAACATGGCACCCTGGTAAATGGAAACAACGACTAAAACCTGTGGTCCCCTGGTGATTTAATTGTGTTGCATGATGTTGCATGATTTTTGCTCGGTGTGCCATTTCGTGACAGAACCACCCGACACCCGGGTGATAGAAATTTTTGACCCATAGCCACATGTTTCCTGGTTTTGAGAACGGCTGGTCACCCAAAAGCTGAGGTACAAGCTGGCGCTGTCCCAGAAGTCCGAGCAGCTGCTTCGCCCCAAGGGCCTGGTGCAACTCGCGGCAGCTCGGTTCCAAGCGAGCCGGGAGGCAAGCGAGCGGTCTGTGGCAAATGCGCGGCTTAGCTTTGGTGATAGTCAGAGAGATCTGAGCTTTCAGATCTTCAGCTTTCAGATCTTCAGCTTTCAGATCTGAGCTTTGTGAAGAAGCCGGTACTACGTTGTTCCGCGTGTTCTTCGTGTCTGGTGTGGCTAGACTCCAAGAATTCTAGCTCATGGGGTTGGTGCCTCTATCTTTGAGCTTACTCCAAATTTGGGCGCAATGAGGAACTCAGGGACCCCGGTTGGGTGGTTTTGATTGCAGCCAGCCTCAAAGTGGAAGATCCCGCTCAGGACCTCGCAGGGCGAGGCTCGTTGCTGGAGGCGCTGGTTGCTCAAGGCTCCGGCACGGTCCTTTGGCGAAGTGGCGAGCGGGTTGTTTTGGAAGCCAAGGAAAAACCCCCATTTGGGGATATTGAATTTGAAGGCAAGCCCGTCTTGCTCTTGCTTGTGCCCCGGCAGATGTTGGACCATGGAACTCCTCATTGCTCAAAAGCAGTTTGTGGGCAGAGAAAGTTGGCTATGGCCCAACAAGGGACGTCATGTTTTGGGCAGCCGGTCATGTTTGAAGACCGATCATTCCAACGCATTGGGATAGGCAGTTTGGAACTTCGTGGCAATTTGGCCAAGCCCTTTTGAATTCGCAAATGTGCATCCCCGCTGCAGGGTTTCAAGTTATAACCAAGTGTTCTTCTTTTCGGGGATGCAAGACCCAGGATCCATATGCGTCCTTGTTCACTGCAGCAAGCACGGACTCTCAGCTGCAACGAGACAGGCTTACGCTGGTGCACCCGTGAGTTCCAGTGGAACAAAAGGCGCTGAGTGTTTTCTCAACTTCGGCCGCAGAGTTCGTCCAGCTTCTGGATGGTCGCGCGGTTGTGCCAACTTCCAGCGGCTTCTGGTCGCGGAAACTCCTTCCGTCGACCGCCCCGCGTCCGGCGGCTTTCCGAGGAATCCAGAGAGACCTTCGAAGGCGGGGGCGGCGACCCGGCGGTGTGCAGGGAGACCATCCACATCTTCAGCGTGGCGTCAGGCGGCTTTCGCTTTTTCCTTGGCGGAAGGAATGGCAACACTGGCCATGGGGAGTTCCCCTTGTAGACCTACAATTTTTGCATGGTGCACCCAGTTTGTCTTTGTGTCAGGCAAGCCCTGGTTTATTTATTTAAAAGAATGAAAAAGCTGTTGAATTGTACTGCAATTTCCATCATTGTCGAAAGGTGCCTTAAGTGTTGTCTCATGTTTCATCATGGCAATCTCCACCGCTAGGCCCCCAAAGAAATTGCCAGCTGCTGTTTTAGCCTCGCAGGTCTCAGCTACGAGCGCTTGCTGCCCGAAGCTCAGGAAAATCAACTCACCACAACCACTCTGGTTGATTCTGCCTTTTGCCAAGGAATGTCTTTGTAAGCTAGCGCTCCGATTCCCGAAGTCAAGGCGGATGTTTGTGCCACTTCAAACTTCAAAGTGTGCTTTCCAAAAGTGGGGAACCTACGCAATTGGTTTGGTTTCTCCTAGTTCTTCCCTCAAACAACAGAGAGTGTACCATTGTAGGCCATTCTCAGAAGGAAATCACAAAAGAAGGAAGGCTCCAAATCAGCATCTCTCTGAGGCGTATCATGATGCTGTCGGTGAGGAAGCACACCAAATGCCGCTAGCACAAAAGTTGCCAACGGAGATGGGGCTGTGCTCTTTTGGCTGGAGTGAAATGGGCGGCCCAGAGAAAACCAACCCATATTGGGTTCCTATGCCCAGAATGTGCCTTGCCAAAAGGCTCGTGGTGAATGATGGTAGGTATTGTGCACGCACCATCTCCCTTTGTTGTTTCTTTGCACCGTTGGATCAAGTGGGCGGCGGGAAACCAATGTCCCTATTTTGAGAACGACCTTATGATAGCTTTTCTTGACGGGCGCACCACACTTCAAATCACCCAAGGTAAGGCCTGGCAACATCAATCCGCCCTCAATCTGGTAATGCGAGCATGTCTCAAAATTGGGGGGATGTCTTTTTGGCTTTTTGTGTTGAAAGGCAGCTGGCAGCCTCGACTTTTTCGCATGGGCAGCAAGCCTACGCAGAGAGAAGCAAATCAGGATACCGGATACCTGTTGTGACGATGAGGTCAAACAAATCACATTCAACCCCCCAAGTTTCGCGACATCCGCGAAGCTTCCTCCGAGGCAAGCTTCGCTTGTGGCTGGTGGCCAATTTCCTAAGCGCCAGCTTCCGGCGAATCCTGCCGACCCTCTCGAAGGAGGCGAGGCTAAAGTGAAGCCTTCTGAGTGGGTGTCAACCTTGGGTTTGAGTCATGTGATCTATGGAAAGGATGGTTGTGAAACCCCCACTCGGAAGCAGCGGCGAGAAAACAAAAAGAGATGATGGAGGATAGTTGCCCTTTTGGTAAGTTTTCTCAGTTGCCCAAAGCCGACCTTTTGACCTTTTGGTTTCCCCTTTTTGGTCTAGTTTTAGTCATGGCCCCAAAAGGTTCACCTTTTATTTCTGGGTCCTTTGGGCAAGTGAGTTTTACAAAGGGCCGAGAGTGGGTGAGCATGGTGACTCTTCATTTCGTTGCCTGATGGTGAACTGTACATATTAATCATATACATATATATATATATATATACATATATATATATATATACATATATATATATATATAAGGTACCCTTTTGCCCAGAAAACCTCTATCAATTCACCGGAATTTACAGTTGCAGCGTTTCTCGGGACTTTTGGAATTGGGCAACTTCCTTTGAGTCCAGCAACCAGTTTAGTCTACGAGCAGTGCCGACCAGGTTCGACTAACGACCATATTACAGCAGTCTAACGATTTTCTGCAGCAATGGGGACGTGTTGATCCCCCCATGCTTCAAACTGAAGAATTAGATCGGTCATTATGGGGTTTTACATCCGTTGCATCCGCAGTGTGGCTGTTCAAGCGTGAAAATGTGCGAGCAGCGCACTTGGACGGTTTGTTGTTTCCTTTTGGGCCCCAAACCGGTAACCCTTGAATCTATAGGTTATCAGCCGTAGGCCCCTAGCTCTAAGCAATGGACGGTTCCCTTGTGCCAGTTGATGGATCCAACATGCCTGTGGACGCTGTCGGAGCTAGCTCCGACAACGCCACCGGCGGCGGTGCGCGAATGTTCGCGCCAAGCGCCAATGCGCAGTATAACCGCACCCTAATGAACTCCCTTCAACTGCACAATACCGCAATCTTTGCTTTTGGGAATGATGCAGCCATTAGGTCTGAAGCCGAAGCCCTGCATCAAGCAGCTGTCACGCATTTGCAAGCGGAAAACCGTGAGGAGCTCCGTGTCGCACAGAATCAGCTGCATGCACGTGCAAGCCCAGTCGCATAGAATTCGTGAATACGAACAGCGAGTGAGCGATGAGTTCATCCAAGAAGTGAACTTCGCTGAAGCTAGGATAAGCCAAGTGTGTGAGGAAAACGCCCAAGCATCGCATGAAGTGGAAATGAGACACAAAACAACTGAGTTTAGGCAAGCCATCGAATCCACCCTGGCGGAGGCCCAGCAGCTCCTTCATGAGCAAGCCGCCAAGCACGCCGATGACACAGCCCGTGTTGAAGCGAAAAACGCCAGGATGATTGATATGATGGCCTACCAAAACGGGCTTCTGCAGGACGAGCTCGATGAGCTGAAGAGGTACCAGAAGCAACACGACCTCCGCGAGGATGGATCGAAGCCCAAAGGGGTAGGTGATACCCGAGAGGATTCACCAGAGTTGATGACCGACGACATGAAATCAGCTCGGTCCCAAAGGTCAATGTTGGACCCGTTGTCCAATCCATTTCAATATGCAAAGGAAAAGTTGAGGTCGCTTGTTACCTATGACGGTTATGAGGTTGAATATACCCCCAGCGTAATTCCAACTGCCGAAAGCGAAGCACTGCCTGCAGATGCTCGCGATCCGCAAGGACCAGCTGAAAAGCCATCAGGTAGCAGCCGATCCCCGGTGAAAACAAGTGCACAGGTCCCGCCCCTGCAATTCTCTCAGGGGCCAATGCCAACTGACCGTAAGCAGGGCCCTGGCGGATGATGGCGATGGCGAAGGTGATGAAGACGAAGGTGATGGCCTCGGGCCCAACCTCAGTCAAGAAGCCTTCGCCAAAATGTTGATGAAGTTAGTGAAAGGCCACACGAACGATGAAAGGCCCAGAACCCGCGAAAGCGAAACGTTGCGATTCAAGGAGATGCCAACTCCTGAAACGTACCGTGAATGGAAGACATCGGTTCGTGAGGATGTCCGCGCTGCGTCTGACCGTCCAGACGAGGCTTGGCCTTGGATCATGGAAGTTTGGTCTGACCGCGAGGACAAGAAGAAGCTGTTGGAAGAGCTCGGTGAACCGGGAAAATTCGTGACTCTAGACACGAAGATTCTCGCAGCGCTCACGCGTTCAGCGAAAGGTGATCTGGCTCAGCGAATCCTGACAGCAAAGGAAGAATGCGCCAAGGAGGGAAAGGCCATGAGAGGAAGGCAGGTCTTGTTTATGTTTGACCAATATTTCAAGACCAGTGAAGAAGCCGGAAACCTCTACTCCTTGGAGGACCTGTTGCGTGTCTCGCGACACGGCGAAGGAATCATTGATCTCAAGCGTTTCCTAAACGCTTGGGATTCTGTGATCGCCGGCATGAAAAGGCCGCCAGAAGAAAAGGTGTTGAAAGACATCCTGCTCTGCCAAGTGAGAAGCTGCCATCTGTTGCGGTACGACATCGACACATATGATCGTTGCCGTGATGATGATCCCAACAAGCCGTACGATTTCCTAATGCGTTGCATGAGGGATCTAATCGAGAGGGATAGGCTTCGCGAGAACCGAGAGCGCGTGTCCAAAGTCAATGCCAGTAAAGCCCCGACGCCCAAGGCTGGCGCCGCCGCCCCTGAAAAGAGGGACCCCAAGAAAAAGAGCGCACCTAAGCCGAAGGACACCGAGGAAAAGTACTGCTTTGATTTCCAGAAGGGCTCGTGCACGAGGGGGGCAAACTGCCCTTACGCGCACCGCAAGGAGCCGCGAGGACGCCGAGTTCCCCCAAAGGCAATAAGGGAGAGAAAGCACCGTGCTCTTTCTTTGCCCAAGGGAAGTGCACTAGAGGTGACAAATGCAAGTTTAGCCATGCCTCCACGGGCGGCAAATCAGAAGCCGCGGCATCGAGCAACGAGGCCAATGCCAATCCTGCGGCTAAGAAGCGTGCTAACTCACCTAAGCCTAAGCCCAAGGCCAAAGCCGCTGCAGTCTGCACCAGGTACGCCATGTTCGCAAAGCCGATCAATCCGATCGGAGTGTCATTTGACACTAATGCTCACGTGCACGAGATCCCCGCCGAAGGCGATGGTTTCAAGCTTGAGTATGAGGAACGGCAGTACAATAGGATGTTTCCAAGTGCAAAGGACTGCCCCAGGCCGTCCAAAGGGACGAACAAGGCAGCACGCAAGGCCGCGAACCAGTTGAATGCCGTAATCAAAGCCATTGAGAATGGAGCCCAGCCCGCTTGTGGTTTCATGTGTGATGTGGAATCCGATTCCATCTCAAGCCTATCGTGTGATGAGTGCCTGAGAATTGCCATGCCGCCTCACGATGTTCGCAAGGATTTTGAAGCGCCAAGGGCAGCCACCCCTGCCCAAAGGGAAAGGACGTGTGGCTCATTGATTCCGGTAGTGAGCAGGACCTCATCAGCAAAGCTGCACTGAGGAATGCGTCCAAGGCAATCCGAAAACAGGCTCCTCAGCCTATTCGCCTTGTGACTGCAAACGGAAACATCACTGCTTCCGAAATCGCCGACATCAATGTCGATGCATTGTGTGAGCCAGCTCAGCCTTACATCCTCGAGAGTTCTCCCGCAGTGCTGTCGTTGGGTGTGAAGTGCCTGGATCAAGGATACTCCTTTCACTGGGAGTCCGGGAAGGCGCCAACCATGGTTCGCCCTGATGGTGCTCTGATCCAGCTAAAGGTTGACGGTCATGTGCCACACATGGATTCTAGCTGTGAAGCTGAGCCATCGTTGAGCGCAGTAGCAGCATCCAAGCCAGCGCCTGCACCGGTTCATGACGAAGGCATCGACGAAGGTGATGATCCCGACGATGAAGTTGAGCGGTTTGTGAGATCCCGCAAAGAGCAAGACCTGGTTGCCGAAGCAAGTACCAAAGAGCACCTGTTTGCACACTATCCGAAGAATCCCTTTTGCCGCACTTGCCAACGTGCCAAGATGCTTGCCCCATATGCAAGATCGAAAGGCGGGCAGGGAAGGCTCGAGACGAAAGCGTTTGGAGATCACATCATTGCGGATCATGTGATTCGCAAGGCCAACATCGAGCAAGGTATCAAAGGTGAATGGTGTGCTCTTGTGATCAAGGACGTGCATACGCAGTTCAGGTACGTTTATCCGTCGACCAGCAAAAGCACGGAGCAACCCGTTGCAGGGATCCAGCATTTCATTTCCGGTAGGGATGAGGTTGAGGCTCTCTACACCGAAAACTCCCGGGAATGAAAGCCGCAATAGAACAGTTGGGGTACCACCAGACCTCCATTGAATATGTTGATTCTTCCAAATCTTTCGTGGAAAGGGAAATCAGACATCTGTTGGAGGGAGCACGTGCGAATCTTGTTCAGTCAGGGTTCCCACTGTCGATGTGGCCGTTTGCAATCCAGCACAATGCAGTTGCAACCAACATCCTGCCGCAGTTGAACGGAAACGATTCGCCATGGTACCTCAGGTTTCACAAGACCTTTGATGAAGTGAGATACCTTTCGGAGCAAAGGTACTGTTCTGGAACAACCCGGCACGAGCGGACAATCAGGCAGGCAAGACTTCGCCAACATCAAATGAAGGCGTGTTTCTCGGGTACCACATTCAGCCTGGGTTCGCATGGAAAGGTGAGTTTCTTGTTGCAAAGCTAGAAGGGCTCGATTACCATATTGAACATGCGTCCCTCACGGTACAGCGAACAAAGCGCATTGAGCTTCCGACTGATGAGTTCGTCTTTCCGATGAGGTTGTTGAAAGATCCTGCATCTCATCCGCCTGTTGCTTGCCAAAACACGAAGTGATCCTGTGCCGTTGGAGCGTAGGCAAGCCCATATCGAGGAACCTGCCGCATCGGAGAAATCCGAAGCGAAGATCAAGCCTGTCGTGCCTGACAAAGGCGGTGCATTCGACCCAAGCAGAATGCCTGATGGGTCACCAGTACCCGATGGCTATGTGTGGGATGGGGTTCGGCTCGTCCGTAGGAAGGCCGGATC